CGGCACGCACGTGCTCCCTCCTGCCAGGGAGAGTGACTGGGGGTGGGGTGGGGGTCTCCCCCGGTTAGAGAGGTTCAGGGGCTTCAGGGTCCCATGACTGGGGAGGGGGCCAATAAGGGGACGCGGGACGGGGAGGGCTCCGCCGCACTTTCCTGCCCAGCCGCCATACACAGTGGGCAACGTTGGCTCCCTGTGGCCAGAGAGGCAGTGACCTCCGGCCTCGGTGCCTCCGTGGAATGGTTTACAAAAGGGGTCTCCTGACGTGGCAAGACCGCCCTCGGGGACGCTGGGGAGGTCTGTTCAGGCTGCAGACCAGAGGTGCAAGCTGAACGTAGCAGCTGTGTCTCCAGACATCAGCTCTCTGAGCAGAGTCCGCGGCGGGGGCGGCCAGCCCTGCGCCCCACGGTCCTGTGGCCGCGGTTCGTGCTCAGGATTCTGATTTCTTACAGCGACAGGCAGAGCGGAGCCTGGGGGGTCCCGATGGTTTCATTCTGGGGGAGTAGGCGGTTTTTAGGAGGGTCAGGGCAAGTCATGCCAGAGCCCAGGGCAGAAAGCGCTCATGCAAGCTGCGGACCCCCACCCACGAAGCTGTGCGTGCCCAGGACCCTCCAGGCAGCTTGCAGGGCACCGGGGTCAGAAGGAGCTGAATGAGACACAGACGCCATGGACTCAGCCATCCTGCTTTCCTCTTCAGAAACCGGAAAATAAAGCCACTCCCTGGTCTTCTCCCCCAAGGCGAAGCGAGCCCAGGCGTTGCCCTACCTGGTGGTGGGAGACCGTTTTCTCCTCTCACAGTGCACAGCGTCAAAGAAAGCCGCGTTCCAGAACCTCAGCGTGTGCCTGCGAGACAGAGGTGTGCGTAAGTCCTCTCCGGGGAGGGCTGGGAGGCGGGTCTCAGCACACGGGAGGGGTAAGGACGCAGTGTCCCGCATCTGTAGGGGTTTCTGATGAGCCTCAGACGCGGAGCAGAGAAGAAATAAAACAAGCATCCGCCTTTGTCCCAAACCGAGGTGGCGCTCCTGGCTTCCGGCCAAGGGTCACGACAGCACCTGCACCCCTCTCCCAGGACAAAGGCGCAACGCGGGCGGTGTGTGGGCAGGACGGCGGCCGGGTGGGCGAATCCTGCATCCATCGGGCCAGAGCTGAAGTTACCACCCGCGGGGCACGGACGAAGGCCGTCTTCCGCTTCTGCACCCGCGCTGGGCCTCCCAGAGGAAGCGGGGCATTTGGGGGCACCTGCTGCCTTAGGTCAGGGTCTAGTAACATAAATGGGAACCCGGCACTGACAGGCCACGTGCAGAGAACAGACACGTTCCCAGGGACACACGAGTCAGAAACGTTCTCCTTAAAGAACCACGTGTAGGACGTGTGGGCCAAATCCGGCCACTGCCCCTGTTGGTGTCAGTCAGGTTCTACCGGAACACAGCCGTGCCCGGGCACGTTGTCCGTGGCGGCTTTTGCACAGCAACAGCGGAGTTGATTACTTGCCCGCAAAGCCTGAAATTTTTGTCGCTTGGCCCCTTCTAGAACGGGGTGCCAAGCCCGCTGCAGGTGATAAGGCAGCAGCCGAGCCGCAGCCCAGAAGGCCCGCGACAGAGCCCCGGACAGGTGTGACGTGGCCGGTAGCTTCTCCCTGCTTCCGCGGAACCTGGCCACGCTCCTGTGCCAAGTTCTCCCGGGGCCACACGGCGGTCTTCGAGGGAGGGGCGCGTGGGACACCCCGAGGGCTCTAGGTGCTGCTTCTCTGCCCGCTTGTGAGTGAACACAACCCAGGGACGGGGAGGCTCCGGAGGGACTACAGCAGCACAAGAGGTCAAACAGAGCAAATGACAGAAGGCAAGGTTTCCCCTGACCACCGGTCTCTCGTTGTAATGACGACTTTCGTCTCTACACGTACGGAGGAAATAGCTTTACTGGGATAGAAGTCACATACCGTGAACTCAGTCTTTTAAAGCAGACAGTTTCACAGTTTCTAGTGTATTTGGAGTTGTGCCACCATGACCACTAGCTACTTCCAGAACACTCCTCATGCCCCGTCCGGCACCCCCGTCCCCATTAGCAGTCTCTCCCCCCCCCCCCCCCCCCCCCCCCCCCCCCACTCACCTACACTGCCTCCGGGGACGTGCCTGACCTGAACCGTCTCCTACGAACGGCATCAAACACCAGCTGGTCTCTTCCATCTGGCTTCGTCACCGGGCTAACTATTTTCCAGGTCCCCCACGCTGTCACCTGTCAGTGACTCTTTACGTGGCTGAATACCGCGTGTCGCATTTCGCGTGTCCACGTGTGGACACTTGGGCCCGCTCCACCCTTCGGCTATCACACACCCATGTGCGTAAGGTTTGCCTTGAGGACCCATCTTGACTTGTTCTGAGCACACCGTCGCTCACTGGGTGACTCGACGCGTAACACTTTGGGGAACTGCCAGGCCGTTCTACACGGCGGGCGGCCCGGTTTACATTCCCACCGGCGCCGGAGGAGGGTTCTGATCTCCCCATGGCCTCACGGACACCTGCCGCTGTTCGCCTTTTTGATTGTGGCCCCCCTGGCGGGCAGTGACCGCGGTTTCTGGGGGAGACAACGGTGCCGGGGCTGCGGCCTTACCAGATGGGCTGCTGCTTCAGGTGCGTGTACAGGTAGATCTTTTCCCCCTTCCTCTCTTCCTCCGGGCTGCACACGGTCACTGCGGGGCGGGAGGCCGGGGTGAGAAAGGCCGACCATGGCTCTGGCTGCAGCCACGCGTTGGCGAGCCCCTCGGGGACCCTCCCGGACAGGGAGTTTGGTTCCTGAGTCCTCTCCCCAGAGAGGCTTTCCCCAGAAGTCCAACACGAAATGACCGACCGGGTGGAGAGAAGTCAGGGGTCACGCACGGCATCATATGCTGCCGGGGGGGGGGG